GTGGAGTCTTTCCTAGGAACTATTGTCTTACAGGACCTAAAGTTGGAGCTGAACAGAAACTCCCTCACCAAGAAAGACCAGCAGAGGATGTCCTTCCTGCTGCAGCTGAAAAAATTCAACCTGCTCAGGACAATGATGGTGCACTTCTACTCCTCCATCACTGAGTCCATCCTCACCTCCTCCATCACCATCTGGACAAGGGCAGACTGCAGCGTGTTATCTGGTCCCCAAAGAATGTGATTGGCTGTAATCTTCCATCTCTCCAGGATCTGTACGCCTCCAGGACTCTGAGGCATTCATTATGGCTGAGCCCTCGCACCCCAGCCAAAAACTATTTCAGTCACTTCCCTCTGGTAGTAGGCTGCGTTCCATCAGGACCAAAACCTGACGCCACAAGAACTGCTTCTTGCAGTCTGCTACCGGCCTTGTCAACAAGCCCAGGGACCCCCGTGACATTGACACTGCTATTCTCACTCCCCCGTTCAAGACCTAGATGCTACACTAACCTAGCATCTCCAGACCTCCTGTGTGACATTAATGCACAGTCTACTGTGTATATAGCTATAGCTATATACTATATATTGCATATAATATATTGTATGTTTTCGTAGTGTATTCATAGATCCTGTATTCTATATATATATATATATATATATATATATAATTAGTCTGCACCATCAAGGCCAATTCAAATTCCTTGTTCTAAGGAATGTCCTAAGTGTTGTGTCCTAAGCACACAACAAAACGTGTTACAAAGGCCTATTTTAGAATTTAACAAAAAGTCTGATCTGCTCCAGGAAAACATAAAAAATATGGCCTAATATTTAATAAAAACATATTAATAGCTGCAAAAGGTGTGTGGCTGTACAGCAATGGAAGAAGAACACGTGGTCAACTTTGTCCCTTCGTAGCCCTAAAAGATGACCTAATATTGTTTTTTACTGTTTTCAGTTCTACAAGGTAGTTTTGGTATTTTGTTTAACTTGCCTGACATGACTTGTTTATACTGATTCAAGTACCTCTAATCGATCACTTAAAAAGGCATTACAGAGTAGTCTAATGATACTGCCACCTGTGGCCAAAATACAGAATTAAAGGACTCCTCTGTTCATTCTTTTATTAACTTATTTATGTTATTTTTTTCATCCTATGTCTCCATTGGTTTCTGAGTTTAGTTGGATGTCGGTCGAGTAAAATAGACGCGCTTGACGTCACATCCGCAGAACAGCTCTGCAGCTTCTGACCTGAAGTATAATCAGGGAAAATAGGCTGCAGTCAGCGCTGAACTAATGAGGTGTTAGTCTGCTAATTTAATGATGTTTTAGTCATCAAATAAAAAAGCTATTGTAGAGATTCTTTTCACTAAAAACTTGCAAAATGCCTCTTTAGGTATGTGATATTCAATAATATCCGGATTAGTACTCACCCTAAAGCACATAAATGAAAATTCATGGATTGTATCTTGGAGTATGTTGTTGCTAATTGAGCTGACTTTAAATTACTTATTTGACCTCCTGACTGTATTCTCATCGAAGGCCACATTGTACACCTAGGGACATCCTTTAAACTGTTACCTGCTGTGCATGTACATCTATATAAGCAGTACACATACTGTACGTGCCAGCAGCATGCAGTGAGCATATCTAATCATATGTGTGTGTGTGCTTGCGTAGGAGTTTTAATTTCATCTTTTGTGTGTATGTGAGAGCTAGTAGAGCAGATCAGTGTCCATGCTGAGGGCTTTGTCACAGCTGACCTATATTAGATGAAAGCAGCTGGATCAGTGGCCTGCAGGGACAGCAAAAGAGTTGTGTTCTAATTATCTCTGCTGCAAGCTAGCGACACATCACACCCATATGCACGTGCGCACCACATGTACACCTTAACGCGCACACCTACATACATTACACACTTTTCCTGAAAATCAATAAGAGCCTGTGAGAGCATCTGCCATGTTCTGTTTGATGAGCGGCCGCGGTGGAGCCTCCTGTGCGTCGTGTCGTACAATGCATATTAAAACCCTTTTGTAAAGACGGTGTCCTGCGGTCCTTAGGTGCAACTGCAGATCACAAATCTCGATTGTGCTTTGCAAGACATAATTACAAGTTGATCACAACTGAAATGAAATCAAACTCTTGTTGTGAGGTTAGGGAATTGAAAGGGAACATCTTCTTAAAGATGATTCAAACAGAGGTGGTGTGGCCTGTTTATTAGCCATGGTTGCTATGGAACCCAGAACTAACACACGCTGAGGGTGAACGCTTGTTTTAATGAGGCACAGGATAAAAAAAATAAATAAAAAAAAGCCATGGTAGTTAAGACGTTCAGTAATCACTATGGTAATGCTAAAGATAATGGAATATTAACAAAGCACGTGGAACCCTGTGGCATCTTTTGTTATGATTGCAGTTAGCTTTGTAGCTCTTAGCTTCCATAGCATGCAGTGGCGGGGGGTGTATGACAATTTTCTTTTTGTGTAATAATTAGCTCAGTGTGGTATTAACAGTCGCAGACACAAACATGTTCTGCATTGCTATTAAACAGCATTTTCCCGCGTTCAGTTACTTTTGTTTCTGCTTCTTCTTCTGTTTTGTAATGAAATATCTTTTGTCACTAAGCAAATTAGCCTGTGTAAGAAAAAAAAAAATAAGTGTTTTCTTCCCTGCTGTTCAAACAAGCATGATCTC